AGTGAGGAATGATGGCTTGGTAACCCCGGCAGGCATCAGTGAGGTCGGCCTGCTGCCATCATTCAGAGAAACCTTACCCACTGTAGCCAGGGTGCGGCTCCGCCAACCAGCTTGCTCATCTCTCAGCATACACCCCAACAGTTTTAAGTGATTAAAGATGAATGCAGACTAGATATATACTCAAAAGTACTTAAAAGGAGAGATTTGAACAGATAACCGTATACCCATGTTCACAGCAGCATTATTCACAATAGTCCAAAGGTAGAAACAACTGAAGTGTCTATCAGGGGACAAATGGAGACACAAAGTGTCATCTATCCATACAATGGAGTATTATTCAGCCTTAGAAAGGAAGGAAACTCTGATATATGCCACAACATGGATGGACCTTGAAGATATTCTAAGTAAAAGAAGCCAGACACAAAACGACAAATATTCTATGATTCGGCTTCCATGGGGTTCCTAGAGTAGTCAAATTCGTAGGAACAGAAAGGAGAATGGTGGTTCCTGGGACTGGGGAGAGGGGGAGATGGGGAGTTGGGTGTTTCGCGGGGACAGAGTTTCAGTTGTGCAAGAGGAAAAAAGTTCTGTGGATGAGGTTCCAATGGCACAACATCGTGAAGGGACTTAATGCTACCTACCGAACTGCACACATAATGGTAAATCTTATGTTATACGCACTTTACCACAATTTTTTTACTGCATACAAAAATTTGAAAATTTCAGTAAAAAAGGATTAATGTAGGAAGGATGGCACACTCATCATGACTTCTTGCCAAAAGCCATTAATGATGTAAAAAAAATGCCGACGTTATTTCAGATCACAGAGGTGGGATACAGGATTGGATGTGGATTTCATCTGTGTACAGATAAAAACATCTTCATCTGTGCATATGTATGTGGGTAGGAAAAAGAGCCAAGAGAAATGCACACATGTCTACAGTGGCTATGTTCTGGACATGGTGGTCATCCTCACCATCTGGCATGTATGTCTTCCAAATTTTATACAATGAGCATACATTATTCTGATAACAGGGTGAAGAGACAGGGTAACTTAAGTATAAAAGCAACCACAAAATCAGGAAAGGAAAATGAATATTTATTCAATCTCCAGATTTGGAAGGATCCCTGTGTTTACGGGGGAAAAAAAATCACGCAGGGAAAGAGTAATTTGTTTGATTATTTTAAAAAGTGAAACCCATAACCAAGATTTAAAGGCAAATTCACTGGAAATACAAATGCCCAACAATTTTACAGAGAGAGCAATGTTTAAGGATGGTAATAAGCAAAGAGTTAGAAGGTAAAACAGGATGCCACTTTCACCTGTTATCATTAGGGGTGGGGTCTGCTGGGGGTCTTTGGTTTTATGTTTTTTATTATTGTATGCTTGTTTGCTTTATTTTTAGTTTTACTACCCTAAGGTAGCAGGAGAGTGGGGAGAGGGGCCAAATCGAGAAGCTTTTGACAATTTGGCACTGAGAGACCAGCCTAAGGGAGTCATTTGATGTACATAAAAACATTTTATTCACAAAGTTGTTCATCACAGCATTATTTACAATACTGGAAATCGGGAAATAAGCTAAATTTTCAATAATTTGAAAGAAGGTTAAGTAAATTATGGTAAAAGTACACAACAAAATATATTACGACCATCATAAAGTATCTGCAGAAATTTGCAGTAACCACACATAATACTTAGTGAAAAAAATAATATAAAACTGCACGATAAAACACAGAGCATGATCACAGCAATGTAAAACATTCATACCCCAGAGAAGACATGATATTCAGTGACCATCTTGGGGCAAAATACTGATGCATATTCTTACCTTTTACTGTATTTGTTTTCCAATTTTTCTGTAATTAACACATTAATTTTGCGTTCAGAAAAAGATACCTTTTTCCAAAGCAGTCATAAGATTCTTTAGTGATGTTCCTGTTCATTTCATGCCATGACACACTCTAGAGTCACAAAGCCTCAGCTTCTTGGAGATGGGAGCAGGTGAGTGGCTGTGAAGAATGGTCATGAATGGACAGGGGGGTAGGACAACCTAGGGGTGGGCAAGGAGGTAGGGATTGGCCAGGGAGAGTCAGGGACCAGTATGAAAACTGGTCAGCCGAGGAAAGGGGCTTTGTGGAGTCAGGGAAGACTCTGACTGCTCAACGAAGGTCTGAGGAGACCCAGTAGTAGGCACTGACGGTGTTCTCAAAGGGCAGGATCAAAGAGGGAGTTCAGGAAGACACGTGGATTCTTCAGGGGCAAGGGAGGAAAGAGGAGGGGGAGGTAAGCTACTCGGAAGGAGGTGAGAAGGGCTGGGGAGATGGTGATGGCACTAGCGGTGGGGGAGGAAAGAGCCGATCGCCAGAGGGCGCTCCCGGCGCCACGCTTCAACCTGACGTCCCTGGCTCGCCTCCAGACAAGTCTTTGCACGCAAACCTAGGGTGCAGAATCAGCTCACAGGTGGGACTTGCCAACAGCTAGGTGGACCCAGCTCACGCAGTTAGTCTTGGGCAGCTCTGTTCCACTTTCTGCCATGATGGAAAGGTTCTAGATCTGTGCTATCCAATATGGTGCCCACTAATCATACAGGGCTGATGAGCACTTGAAATAGGCAAGTGCAACTTCGATTCTGCTTCTGAAATGTTTATTTCATTTTAATTAATGTAAACAGTCGCATGTGCCTAGTCGCCACTGGACAGCACACAACTAGGGGCAGTGATTCTCAAAGTGTGGCCTTCGGGGGAGCAGCGTAATTTGTAAGAAATGCACATTCTCAGGCCCCACCCCAGATGCAATAAATCAGAACCTCGGCAGGCAGGGTCTGGCACACTGGATTTTAGCAAGGCTTCGGGTGGTTCTGGCGTACCCTCATGTTTGTGAGCCATGGAGACAGGTCCACTCAAACTTTCTTGGGTCACTAGTCTGGTTTCAACTGAACTGTATCAAAGAACCCCTGCTCAGGTGATATGGGGCTTTCTACAAATAAAGTGACTGTGGAACCATTAATAAAACACGTCGAGCTCAGTGAGATCAGAGAAAGGTCACGTGGAGCCACAAAGATATGCTTACTCTAGGCCGAGTCAAGATAAGGAACGTGGTCAGCTTGGACATCGGAAACCCAGAAAGCGGCTAGTCATCCCAATGTGTGCCAGAGACGTGCAAAAGGAAACAAACAGTGGCTCTAAATTGGGTTCGGTGTCAAAAATAGAAAGCCCCCCCACAACCTGTGAGAGTATGTGCATCCCATCGAATGTGAAACGCAGCCTTAACTTCTAAAGGGAGAGATCTGTAAAGGGAAGGCCAAGAAAAACTAAAAGCTAAGGAGCACTCTGACGCCGCGTGCTCAAGTAGGAGAGACAAGACAGAAGCACTTCCGGTAGAGGCGGATCCACACACAAAAGCGCCCCACGTGGACCCGGCTCCGGATATGGCTTTGGTCACCCTGGCGAATTACGGGCCAAAACAGCAGCTGCACACCCAATGTATCTGCCACTTCACTCTTTTCTGGCGCAGTTCAGCTAACAACTTTGGCGAAAGCAGAACGTGGCGATTTTTGACACTAAAGCTGTGCCTCAAGAAATAGAGCGAGAAAAAATGAGGAAGTGTACATACTGCAGCCAACAGGCACAGCACACGGATGTGAGATAAAGGCCTGTGTTCAAACTTATCATTGTAACTGTGGAGGAGGAGATAAAGCTAAACACATTGAACATATGTCACGAGGAATTTGCAGACTGGATTGTAAAAATCTTCATGGAAGTGATGAGAGCGGTAAAAAGGACAAAGAAGGAGAAATAAAAGGCCCAGGGAACCCACCGACAAGTAAAGCGTAGGCATCCAGAAGAAAGATGAGCCTCAGGATCAGGAGAGATGAATAGGGCCCTTCACTCTTCAACTAGAAACCGTTGTTGCCGGGACACTAAGTCACAATCAATTAGAAGAGCATTGTGTTACCATATGCACCTCTACTGTAGGCTAATTAGTAAAAAAAAACAACAAAAACAAAAAACCGTCTGAAACTACTGATTTGAAGTAATCTCTTAACATGATATCTTGCCTTTTTTGTTACAATTTAATACACAGAAGTAACTTAACCTAATTTGCTGAAGTTTGTTTCACAAGCATTTACCATTAAGCACTGATGCACTTAGAAGACACAATTACTAGAAATGACTCACTTTGATACAGGACTACACATGATATTGATTTAGAATGCGGTTGACTCCTCTGATGACTACTGATAACTGATCAGTTTCCACTGTTATTAACAGGAGTTGTGATGATCCCACCCTCTTTAATAGGCTAAGCTTATTACTACCACCTGCCTTCTGGTTACTTTCATGTTTGGGGAACACGGAACTACATTCCAGGGGATTAGAAATCACCTAATATTATACTAATGAAGTTTTAACAATTCTCAAAATAATTTAGAATTTAATAAAATTAGTGTTGTCTTTAATCAGCAATTAAAAGTCAAATATTTCTGGCCTCCTGGATAAGTGGGTATCTGCAACCAACTATTCCTGAAGAAGGAAAACACTTAACAGTTTTGAGTGACTTAATTCATGGATACAGGTATAATGTAACACATAACAGTGCCTTTCAAGAGGTGATCTCTGAGGTCAAGGGTCATATTACTTGCTAACAAATTATTACTTGGGCCAGACATCTGTGAACATTTTTTTTGAACATTTTTAACTGAATTTCCCATACATTTCATGCCTCTGGTTTACTGAGCATTACATACCATTTGATATAGAGATTCCACACTAATCACTTCATGCCTAGATTCCACATTAATCACTTCATGCCTATTTTATCTTTGGATTTTGAAAATTTGCAATCTTTTTTTTTTTTTTCAACGTTTATTTATTTTTGGGACAGAGAGAGACAGAGCATGAACGGGGGAGGGGCAGAGAGAGAGGGAGACACAGAATCGGAAACAGGCTCCAGGCTCTGAACCATCAGCCCAGAGCCCGACGCAGGGCTCGAACTCACAGACCGCGAGATCGTGAGCTGGCTGAAGTCGGACACTTAACCGACTGCGCCACCCAGGCGCCCCGGAAAATTTGCAATCTTAAGAACAAAAATTGAAGATAAGACTTAAATGCATCTGGCATTATTATTTAACATTTTAAAAAGAAACCTGAAATACTGACATAATATTTTGAATATATTGGGCTAAATAAATTATTAAATTATAAACAACCAGAAACTTAGTGTTAAACAGCATGTGACACACGGTTACTTTTTGAAATGCACTAAATTCCGCAAATAATTCCAGTATTTCTTGACTATAGCGTTACGTTAGGTTATTATGGTCTTGATGGCTAAAAGAATGACAATTTTCATTTGCTCGCTTTACACTTATCCATTCGATAAATAAGCTATGATTGTTCAAAATGGGAAAGAATGGTTCAGTCCGATCACCAAGTAGAAATGAAGACTCAATAAAGAATCAAAGGGCTGGGCTATTACATATTCTTAGGCCAAACTGTTGATGCACGCTTTGATTGCCTACCCCCGGGTTGCTTCCAATATTGTGGGTAATCGCCAAATAACCAGCTCTAACTCCTCCTCTCCCCAGCTGGAAGGGAGCACATTACGGACGCCCTCCTCAGTGCTTGGCAAGACTCAAGGCATCAATGACTGGAGAAGGTCTCTGCCCTGGGAGTCATTATACATGTTGTGGTCCTGCAGAGGGTCGGAATCAACAAAATACAGTTCCCCTGCATGGACGTCAGAAAAATTAGCCAGAAATTCACGGGGATCAAAGCCAACCCACACAGTGTACCTATAGTCTATCGTGCGTATGGAATAGCCCATGACCTTTATATCTTTTAAGCTCGGCTTGTCAGAATTCCACTGAGGATAGTCTGCGGGCCGGGGGTACTGGCTATAGGCAATAGACTCACGGGGATTACCACAAAGGTGCGGGTCCTCTCCCAGGTCCTGGAGTTGAAAATGCTTCCCAAGGTTCTGGCCTTCTCGGCACAGCTGCACATGAAACGAGGGAACTGGACAGCGAGGTGGGACGTGCAGGCCAGCAAGTCCCGCGAGCGTAGGAGAGAGAGAAAGAAGTTCCACCAGGTCCATGACTCGCCGGCCTGAAACAGGAAGCGATCCTGCTGAATGGACTACTTTACGGAAGCCTGCACGGCCAACAGGATGAGGACAGGAGCCCATCTGGGCACCACGCGTTGTCTTTTGTTTTTTTACATGTATTTTTGGCCCAAGAGTTTAGGAACAACGCCAACTCGGCACCTCACCCAGTTAGAGGACACAAAATGAAGGTGCCCGCAACCAGCTGGCACTTTTAAAAATGATGTGAATTTTGGAGCCATCAGTGTAATAACTGATTCAGGCAAGGATCACCCACGGAAGCCCAAGCCACCAGGTAAAAATCTGTTGTGGGACAGGATATTCAGAATCTCAACAGTGTCACCCTGCAGATGACTCCTTCCTGGATGTCAGCACATCTCCTTTAGATTGTGGGAGAACACGAACAACATCAAACTTACCACCTGACCCATGTTGTAGCGTCCACTTCAGCAGCATCACAAACATTCACCCTGTTCCGCAGCCATCACCACCATCCATGCCCAGAACTGTTTCCATCTTCCTGAACCAGAGTCTCTCCTCATTAAACACTACCTTCCGCATCTCCCCTGCTCCCCAGCCCCTGGCACCCACTGTCCTACTTTCTGTCTCTATGACATTGGCTCCTCTAAAGACCTCGTGTAAGTGGCATCACATAGTATTTGTCCTTTTAGGACTGCTTACTTCACTGAGCATCATGTCCTCAAGGCTCATCCATGTTGTAGCAGGTGTCAGAATGTCCTGCCTTCTTGAAGGCTGAGTAACATTCCGCTATGTGGGGAGACGACATTTTGCCTATCTATTCATCCGGCAGTGGATACTTGGGGTGCTTGAGCCTTCTGGCGATTATGAATAATACTATGAACATTCAGATACAAGTTTTTGTTTGAATACCTGTTTTTAATTCTGTGGGCTATATACCTAGGAGTGGAATTGCCCAGTCACGCGCTAACTCTACCTTTAACTTTTTGAAGAATGGCTAAACCATTTTCCACAGTGGCTGCACCATTGTACATCCCCACCAGCAGTGTGAGGGTTCCAGTTTCTCCACACCATCCCAGTGCTGGAGTTTTCTGTTGATTTTGATAATGGATAGGAAATGGCATCTCATTGTGGTGGACCCACCTTTAAAGTCTCAATCCTGTACTTTCTGTTGATTCCTATTAAAACCAGTCTGGGCTTTGGACCATCATTCTGGCCTTTCTGTATCTTTAAGAATTCGTTTTATACTGCCCAATTTTATTTCAACATATTTAATTTATAAGTTAAATAAAAAGAAAAGAAGCTTAAAGAAAGATACTTTTACAAAATGGCAAGACCTGGCCGACATGGCCACCTTAATCAGGACCAAATCTGGCATCACTAACAATGGCACATGCCACCACCGAGTGCCCCCACTGTGACACCAAGGAAGCACACAACCTCATGTCCAGTGTGTGTGTCAAAAATGTTTACCCTGAATCTAGTCATGAGGAAGCAATGACACAAATCCAGACTGTGGGCTACTGCTCAAGACAGGTACCCCAGATGCCTGTAAAAAGGTGAGGTCAGGGAGAAATGGGGGCCCAGATCCCATCAGGACTTGTCAGCTGCTATAAGGACTTCCACTCAGTGAGGTATGTGGGAGGCTCCAGAGCAGGGCTGTGACACCACCTGACTCGGGTTTTAACAGGATCACTTCAGCCACTGCGAGGAGGAGGAACTCTAGGGGACCACGAGCACAACCAGGGAGACTTCAGCAAGCCACTGCAGGAATCCAGCAGGAGATGGTGGTGGTGTGGCCCAGGGTGGCAGCATGACTCAGTGAGAAGCAGTACAGACAGACTGAATGGACAGCAACAGGCTTGCTGACGAGGACTACGTATTACATATGGAGGACAGAAGAGAGGCAGGGGTCAGGAGGACTCCACGATTTTTTGGCCTGAGTCAGCACAGCCATTCCCTGAGAGGGAAAAGAGGGCCAAGAGGGTCTTACAGTGAAAGGCCAGAAGCCCAGCTTGGGCACGTCAGGCTGGCCAAGTGGGACAAGCTGTTGGAAACCCAAGTCCCAAAGTTCAGGGAAGAGACAGAGGCTGGAGATAAAATTGGGGCATAAACTGGGAACAGTGCAGTTATGTGAATTTACAACTTGCTGAACACCTCCCCAAAAAAGTTTCAAAAAAAAACACACAAAACATTCTCAACCGGTCAGATTTCTCCAAGGAAACAAAGGGCTATAATCATGCCTTGAAAAGGTTTAACCTTATCAATGACTTGAAAGAAGGCAAAGCATGCAGCACACGAAAATCACGTGTAGAGAAAATAAAATTGGGCTGTTTAAAGCAAACTGAGAAAGATCCAGAAAGGCCAGGATGATAGGCCAGAACCAAGGAAAAAAATTTTTAATAGAAATCAATATAAAGGGCAAGATTTAGATGTTAAATGGATTTAGATGGATTAAATAAAGAAAGAAGTCCAGAAAGGGAACAACCTGGCTTCTGAGAGTTCATGGAAAACGTACCCCTAAAAAAGCAAATGTCATCTGAAGTACATGACTCGTCTCTGCACTGAGCAGATCAACTTAGGAAGTAATTCACAAAGAACCTGCACAGATTGCCCCATGCTATAGCAAGGGGTATCTTGTTCAAGGGACATTTCTGGAAATCTTTTTCTTAAACTGGAGTTTCTGGAAGACAGAAGCCACAATAACTGTGGGCCTGAAAGAACGGCTGCAGGCCTGGGGATCTCAGCCTAGGGAAGAGAGGTATTGGTGTCATTTTCAAGGCTGGGATGGACTGGCACGTGGAAGTCAAAGTAAACTTGCTCATTGTTGCAGAGTGCAGAAGCAGGTCACCTGGCCTACTTGATAGATCCAGCGGCTCACTAGACCGGTAAGCTGCCAAAACGGCAAATGTCTTCCTCACAAAGGGCCGAGTCCCCGTAGAAGTGTGCAGGCAAGAGTTATGCTCATCTGTAGGGGGACAGCCCCAGCCCTGGTGGAGTCTGTCACCCCTGCCTCCCAGCTTTGGAGCGCACTATTGTCACCACCACGATAGTCCTCCTCATCCTGGGGGTGCCACCTACTCCTTCCTCACTCCTCATCTTCCATGCTCCTCGTGGACGAGGGCCATATTTGGTGGCTCTGGCCCTGCCACCCCTCCCTGACCCGGAGGTACTCAGGAATGCCAACACCGGGCAGGAAGACGGACCAGGTAAGCCCTGGGCTCTGAACTGGTAAGGTGATTTACATGTAAACTAAAGAAAGCTTACTATCAAGCAACATCACTCCGGTGTATTTTATACCTGGCTCCATCAATTCCAACACAGAATCGAAAGGGTCGATGTAAGGGAAAAGCTCCTCTCCTGCCTCTGGAAGCGGAGCCGTCCTCCCGGGAACATAGAACATCAGGGGCACGCGGGTAGCGACGTCAAAATTGCTGTATTTGGCCCATTCTCCATGTTCACCTAGAGCCCACCCTGGGTCATAAAAAGCACAGAACGACAGAAAACGAATAATGATATTATTCATTGCCCACTTTAGATACCATTTCATTTCCTGTTGTAAAAACCAGAGGAAACAAACACTCATCAGAAGAAATTCCTCTATAATGACCACAAAAAGGGGACTTCCCCTAAATCTAAGTATTGCTTTATTTGAAGTTAGACCTTTGTCCTGAATGAGGAAACTCTAAAAGGAAAAAAAAATACTAAATTCTCAAATGAAACTATCTTCTTTTAGCAAACAACTAGCAATTGCACCCAGGCTGGGTGCTGAGGGACCCATGGCCCCGCACAGACATGCCGCCCCTGCTGAGAGGGGCTCCCCTTGCCTGGACGGGGTCTCCAACAGCCAGCGCTGCCGCTGCCCAGCCCTGGGCTGGCCTCCCTTGACACAAGTCCCGCAGGCTCAGGTCTGCACCTGATGGCATGCCGCCGAACAATGAGCTGTGACACTGTGGCACTATCACTCACATTTTAAAAAGACAAGGATAGCTTATTCAATTTTTAAAATATACCACAGACCAAACAAATATAACTTGATTTGAGATCCTTAACCTTGATAAAAAAAAAAAAAAAAAAAAAAAAAACCTCTTAACCCTGACTTAAAACATCCATCCCTTGCAAAAGACAGCTTGAATACCCCAGGCTGGTAATTTCTAATGTCTGCATCGGAGCACCCGTTTTGACATAAAAAAGATGAAAGAGATTGCACATTGAGTAGTTCGTGTTACAAAATAACCAAAGCCACATCAAGCTGCCATGTATGGATTGGAGAAGGCTTTTGTGGTTGGGAGGTGGGAAGTCTCAGGAGGGCCATCTGTCATCAGTGCAGCTGCCTCAGAGCAAAGAGAGCTTCCATGTGGGCCTGGCCTTCATGGGTGCACCAGACTGTGTGAGCACTGGAAGAGGAACTGGGCACGGGAAAGAGGGGCCAGAGGGGATGGCAAACCATCAGGAAACAGCGAAAACTTAGGATGCCTCCACAGAAGACAAAATGATGTGGGACTTTACAAGGCTTAAGGCAGGCCTGTGAGAAATCACATGGAGAACTGTCTGTGACATTAGGTGGAAAAAGCAAACTAGGGAACAAAACAGTTTATAAGCACAATCGATTCTGCCTTGTTCCATGACTATATATGACACACACACACACACACACACACACACACACACACACACACTCCACCGCCACATGTATATATACAACCAAAGGCTGCCAAACGGATCCCAGATCTGTCAGCACCAGTTAGCCTCGGGCATGTGGGAGCAGGGTGATGGGGACTGGGGGGTGTTGTTTAGCCTCTATTCTTGAGCTTGATAAAAATTTCATATTAAGAAAAAAAGTTTTAAATAAACTGTTTCCATTTTTGGAAAAGTAGGAAACTGCCTTAATTAAAAGAGAGAAAGCACTGCGAGCCCCAGGCTCTTGGCAGAGAGAACATCGGGGCTGGGAGTAGAGGGGTGCAGTCAGGTCTGAGGGCCTTGTGGGGCCCTGCCAGGATTCTTCTGGATCCTAAGAAAAACTGAAATCCTCCAACAGTCTAGATGAGCAGCATGGGTTAAAAGGGCTCCCGACACAAATGGAGGGTTCCTGCTGAGTTCATCAATAAAAAAAAAAAGGTTGCTATCAGGTCCCCTCCCAAGCATCCAAGACGCTCCTTGTACCCAAAAGAGGCCCCGCCCCCACGGAGAGAGGTCCCAGGACTAATAGGACAATCATAAAAGCACCCTGAGACCCCAGACTTGGGGCACTGCTGATTCTCAAAAGAGAACACGCCTATGTTTAAGGCAATCTAGAAAAGCACATTTCACAGAAAAGTTCCTATGTTTTGCGTGACTCACCAAGGTATTTGAAAATGCTTACCATGATCTGAGGCAAATGCAATGATTGTGCTATTGGTCAGCTGGAGATCATCCAAAGCACTCAAAAGGTGGCCAACCTGTGTATCCAAATACGAAACAGAGGCAAAGTAGCTCTGGCGGATTTTCCGCTGCACATTAAAAAAAAGAGAGTGAGTGCAATTGGAATTGCAGTGGCGCACAGAAGAGTGTCACCTGAGCATTCCGCCACTGACGCCCTTAACTCTCTCAGCCAAAACATAACGTGTGTTTCCCCACCATCCACAGCCCCTTGCCCACATGGTCCCGGCAAAATCTGGGTCCGCAGCAGATCCAAAAGGAAGATTATTTTCTAAGTGAATCAGATTTCACTTTAGGGCACAGATCACAGCAGATGGATGTGCCACTTACTATCCCCTTCTGTCTCCTTCACATAATCTTACGGGTCCCAGGAAATGGCCCCGTACACTGAAACTCATCCCCCAGGCACTCCAAACTCCCACTGAGGGTGGCACCAAAGACCCCACCAAAGCTCTATTCACTCCCAAAGGACCAGAAACTGGGGGGCTTAGAACAATAGAAATGTTCTGTCTCCCAGTTCCGGTGGCCAGAGTCCGAGATCCAGGTGTCGGCAGAGCCAGGTTCTCTCTGCCAGCTCTGAGGGAGGGGGCTGCCTCTTCCAGCTTATGCTGGTGCCCGGCATCCTTGGTGCCCATGGGCTTGTGGCCACATCACCCCAATCTCTGCCTCCCTCCTCACATGGCCTTCTTCCTGTGTACAAGAACACAGGTCATACGACTCCAGTATGACCTCATCTTTTTTTTTAAAAAATGTTTATTTTTGAGAGAGAGAGAAGAGAGAGAAAATGCACACAAGCGGGGGAAGTGCAGAGAGACAGAGAGAGGGAGAGGGAGAGAGAGAATCCCAAGCAGGCTCTGTGCTGTATCGTAGAGCCTGACATGGAGCTTGAACTCGCGAAACCGCAAAATCATCACCTGGGCCAAAATCAGATGCTTAACCAACTAAGCCACCCAGGTGCCCTTCCAGTATGACCTCATTTTAACTAATGACATCTGCAATGACCCTGATTCCAAACAAGGTTCCATTCTGAGGAAGGAGGAGCTCATGGCGATGGGACGAGGGGGTGGGGTGGGGGTGGTCCCTGCTGTTCTTCTTCCTAGATGAGGGAGATGGCCACAGCCCAGCACACGAGCATGCACGATTCTGGCGACCGGTAAGGGGCATTACCAACAGCACTGTTTACCAAATATTTGCCGGGTGCCACCCGATCCTCAGAGCCACCCTTTACGGTGAGCATTAACATTCCCATATGACACGGGAAGATTCCAGGGCTCGGAGAGGTGGAGAGCTGTGCCTGGAGACACACAGCTGGCCAGGGGGACATGGCCCAGGTCAGTACCCACACACATCCTGGGTGTCCCCTCCCCGGGGCTGTCCACCAGCCTCCATTTCTGAAATCCCAAGTGGCATCATCTGCCGAGAGATGGGGCAGAGGGGTAGAAGGGGCAGGAGGAGAGTGGCACGGGTTCTGAGCGGCTGCACAGGTCAAGGGAGTGCTGAGCAGAGAGCCCCCATGGATGGGCTGCTGGGGATGGAGGCTGGGCCCATGAGCGTGTCTCCACCTCATGGCTGCCCGGGTTCACTCCAGCAGCCTCAGGACTTGGGTTTCAGAGCAGAGTGGGTGGTGGGACCATTGTGTGATCGGAGCACTGCAGGTGAGGCAAGGATCGGAGCACAAATGTACTGAGGAGCTGGCAAGAACAGTAAGCGACCTGCCCAGGAGGAGACTCCAGAGGGGACAGGACCCAGGGGGAGAGGAGAGGGCCACACTCACAATCCCCATGAGGCATGTGGAGAACGGAGACATGGAGCGAGGGAGCTGTGAGAAGAAGAGACTGCGGTCAGTCGGGGTGATGACCGAGCAGGAGTGGACCCGGGAGGTGGCAAACCCCGAGTGTGGCCCCTGAGGTCACTGGCTCATGTGGAGCTGAGGAAGAGGGCCAGAGGCTGGAGAGGGCAGAATTGAGACACTCAAGAGTGGAGCGAGATGCGGCCTGGGCACAGACACCCAAAGCTGCAAGAGGACAGTGAGCAGGGCCCAAGTTCAAGGTGAGTGTGCAGAGGCAGGAGCACACAAGCACACCAGGGAGGTCCTCTGGGCGGCTGCACCACCTGTGAGGAGCGGTGTGGGGAGGGGAGGAGAGCACCTGAAGGAGCCCTCACACGCAGTTCGCACTTAGACGCTTTCGTATGTGCTCTGTGCTCCCTGCTGAAAACCTTTCTCCACCTCGTTTCCATTTTACAGAGAAGGAAGCTGAGGCTCAGAGACATAAAATGACTTGCCATGGGTTGTGCAGCTGGTATGGGGCAGAACGGGAATTCGAACCCAGACCATTGAGAAGCCTGGACAACAGCAACGGCAGGTACCTCACTAGCTTCCCATGCAGACCAAGCGAGATAGCAACATAAAACACTGGGCACCCTTCCTGGGACACAGTCCCATTTCAAGAACATTTTAAGTGGCCGTCACTAACATCCAGGTGTGGCCTCAGAGCTGCAATTCACGCAGCCTTGCTCTCAGAACCCTGGCATCGGGAAGTTAGGAATGGGACCAAGTGGTGAATCTACTCCTCTCCAAACTCTCACCACTGCCCTCCAAACCTCAGGAGTCCAACAGATACGAGGGGCGCACATCCCTCACCCTTTTGTGGTGTTTGGAACTGTGTCCTGTAGCAGTATTTCCAAACCTCTGAGTGCATCAGAATCGCCAGGTGTGCTTTTGCAAATGCAAGTTCTCAGGACCCACTTCAAGCTCCCAACTCCCTAAGTCTGAGTGACGCCAGGACTCTGTGCTTATAAGAAGCCCCTGTGGGGATTCTGATGCAGGCGGTCCAGGAAGCAGCCTTTAAAAATACTGCCGTCTACCTTCCATGGTAGATTGCCTATTGGTGTATTCACATAGTAACAGAAGGGCAGGGCTGCGTGTGGAATAGTCCAGAAAGAGCATTGGTCAGCACGGTTTCTGTACTCCAGGGGGAGGGTGACTGATGAGTCAGCATGAGGATTCTAACTCTGGCTGCTCCACCCCCACGCGATGGCAAAGGGACATCAGATGTCGCAGCGGGACAGCCACATTGGTGCCCCAGCTCCCTCTGTGTCAAGACCCTGCCCACCACACCACCGCCTGAGAGTGATGGGTACCTGTGCAGGCTTCCCCACAGAGAGGACCTGCCAGTGCCAGCAAAACAAACATTCTGGGCTACACAGGAGCTGCCCGCCGTCCCATAGCTGATGAGCTGTCACCTGGATTGAACAGCACCCCCATGAGTTAGTGATGGTCGTCCAGGCCTCCTCCCTACCCCGGTGCCTATGTCCTGTGAATCACCAAATCTCCAGATGCCTCCTTCTTTGGAAGTGGAGACACTGATTGGGAGACTACATCCACTCAGCACCCCGTACATCCGAAATTCCTCCAGACCACCCCACCCTCAGCACCTCACAAGACACCTAGCACAGAGAAGATTCTTAGGAAGACACGATGGGTAGAGTGGTGTCTATGGAGAAAAGTGGTGTCACCAATGACATCACACCAGAAGTGCCCAATAATTCCCTCAAATATGTCCTTGGTACCTGAAAATCCACAGGAATTGGGCCATAGGGCACACTGAGGTTCAAGGCTTGGACGTCCTCCCGCTGCCTGATGTCCATCCAAGGGTTGTAGGCCACAGGAGGAAGGCCAGCAGGCACCTGGGGATCGGGAGCCAGGGTGATGTTCTCCAAGGGATACAGCTTCTGAAATTCCTTGGGGGAAAAGCACACAAAGACACCAGGTTGTCATTCTTTTCTGGCAGAGGCACAAGGCTGGGACTCTACAGATATTTATACTGCCTTTTTAAGCCTGTGATGCACTTACACGGCAGCTCACTGACACTACAAAGTCAGACTTGAGGTCACACTCACAAGATGCCAATGGTAATGATATCGCCACTCATTTTCTATGAACCAAGCAGCAACGGCTCTCTTTTCTCCTATATATGAATACCCTCCTATTCCCATCCCCACTTCCCACCTCCCCTCCAAGTGGAAAAGGCGTGGAAGGGTGTTTCCAGTTCCCAAAACCTCCCTCCGGTTTGGCAACACCCTGGGAGTTGCTCACAGAACGTGCTCAGGCACGCCCGTGGTTGTGCCTGATGACAGTGCAAGGGCAGCAGACACAATCAGCAAAGCCACGTGGGCAATGCCCAAGGGAGACCAGGCACAAGTTTCCAGAATCCTCTCCCAGTGAGGTCACACAAGATGTGCTTAATCCTCCCAGCAGGGAGCAGTGTGCCAACACGTGTGAAATGCTGCCGGCACGGAAGCTCGTTAAAGCCTCAGCACCCGGGCTGCTTCCTGGGGTCACTCCCCCGGGCACCTTCTGCCCTCACATACCCAAACTGCAGACTCCAGGCAGGAGAGCGGGAGTTTGCGTCAACAGTTTGGGCACAGAAAGCCACTCATCGCTCTGGGAGCGGTGCCAACTCCAGCTTCCCAGAGGCCAGCCAAAGCCCAGCCTCGCAAGCAGACCTTTCTAAGGAGAGCAGCCAGGACTGCCAGATTAACCCCGGCTGGGAGGGCCAGATCCCCTGCGCCAGTCAGAGCATCAAAGAACATGTCTTTTGCTCTCTACATCCATCACTAGTGAGGGGCATTCTTTACAAAGTCAAAAGAATGGGCTGCTTAGGCCTGGGGAAGACACGACAGGGAAAAACTGAAAAGGATTTTTAAACAGCAGAGACTACATGCTCTGAATGATGGACATGCAAGCAGTGCCCTGTGTTGAAGGGATCTGACCCACCAGGCTCAGGGGGAGTGCCAACTACTGAACACGGCTTCACGTTCCTTGGAACCGTGCCCCCAAGGACCATCCCTTACCGAGGGCCTTGGCAGCCGGCTCTGACTCCCTTATCTCTGGTGATCTTACCATCCAACCCAGCACATGCTCACGGAGTCCAAGAGAAAAAAACTAAAACCCTCCAGTGGGGGAGGCAGAAAACCAAGCATTTCCAACAAGATTCTTACATACCCCAAGTCTACTTCTTAGCCTTGACCTCTGCATCCCATCTCCACACCACTGAGTACAGTAGTGCCATCAGGCACCCCAGCGACAGGGCCGGCAGGATGTGGCCGCCCTCACTACACTAATCTCTCCTTCGAGAAAGGACAGAGCTGTCACAGCTGTGCTGGATCAACCCTCAGCCAGATCTTCACCTTGGGGTATCTGAAGGGGATGTGCGGCTTATGATACCCAACAGCCAGGAAGAAAGGACTGGCTGATGTTTTCATCTTTTCCAACAACCGTATAGCTTGCTCGGTGCTCTGTTTGTCAGGCAAGGTGCCCTCCGGCACATCCGCCACATCCACAGGGCAAAGCAGGTTGGCATGGAGCTGTCCGTCCGGCCCCCTGCATGTCTTTGAAAACAAAACATGTAACGCTGTCAGCTCTTGAAATGCAAGAAACAGGAGTCATGAAGGCTGCACACACAGAGGATTTAACATTCATATCACTAGCCTGTAAATCTTCATCATTCAAAGTGGTCGGGCACACACGAACTAGAACTAAAACAGAGAAACGTTTCGTCTTTTCTGGCCTGGGCCAGAAATCCACCAGCACTTAGCTTCTTGCTGTTCATCTTCTGCCTCCAGGCCTTAATTAATTAAAGGAAGCCCATGTAAACGAATGACCAAAACAAATTTGTCTCCAGCTCAATAAAAAAAAAAAATAAGCGAATTAAAAAATGGACAAGGTACTTGAACAGAGATTTCTCCAGACAAGACAGATAAGTGGCCAAAAAGCACATGTAAAGATGCTTCATGTCATTAGTCGTCATGGAAACACAAGTGAAACCCAAAATGAGATACCACTTCCCACCCACTACAATGGGTAGAATTTTTAAAACTGGACAGACAATAATACTAGGATGGCTAGAATTTTTTAAACTGGACATTAACAAGTGCTGGCAAGGATGGGCAGAAACCAGACCCCTCATACATGCTGCTGGGGATGTGAAATACTACAGTCACTGTGGAAAACACTCAGGGGGTTCCTCAAACAGTGAAACATAGAGTTAGTGTGTAACCCAGCAATTCTACACCTAGGTGGATACCGGGAAAAAATTAAAACCTACGTCCACACAGATACTTGACCTGGCAGTTCCACCTAAGAGAAATGAAAAGTTAAGCCACACGAACACCTGTACGTGAATAGCAGTATTACTGATAGTAGCCAAAGAGTGGAAACCCAAATGTCCATCAGCTGATGAACAGATAAATAAAACGTGTTATCTCCTCCGTACAATGGAATACCATTTGGCTATAAAAAGTAATGAAGCTTTGGGGAGCTTAGCTGGCTCGGTCAGTAGGCATGCAACTCTCGATCTCGAGTTTGTGGGTTCAAGCTCCATACTGGGTGGAGAGGACTTAAAAATAAAATCTTTAAAAAAAAAAAAAGGTAATGAAGTTCTGATACATGCTACAACGTGGATGAGCCTCAGGAACACTATGAATGAAGCCAAACACAAAATGCCATATACTGTATGATTCCATTTACACAAAATGTCCAGAATAGGCAAATCCATAGAGAAAGAAAGTAGATCAGTTGTTGCCAGAGGCCGAGGGTTCAGAGAAAATGGGGAATGAATGGTAACGGGTACCCACATACTTTCCGGAGTAATGGAAATGCTCTTAAATGGATTTGTTGATGGTTGCACAACCCTGAGCATACTAAAAATCACTGAATTGCACACATTAAAAGGGTGACTTTTATGGTGTATCGATTATATCTCAAAACATTTTTTTAACAACAACAAAAAAAACCCCTGTCTTCAATTTCAAAGACAGACTAAGACTTATGAGTGACAAAGTCCCAGTCAACTGGATAAGGTCACAATCCATGGAATTTCCACATCTTCAACGATGCCATGCACAGAATGGAACCTATTGCTTCATTGCCCAAAGTGGTCATAGTGCCCACAAGGCCAAGGTCAGTTCTGACCATGATTTTGGCCTCACAAACACTCAGCTGCTGCTGCCCCATCCCAAAAAGCAGCATTCTTTCACAGGCCAATCTTGGCCACACCGCCCCCAGGCAAGACAGCCCAGCACCTGCTCACCCTATAGCTACACATGAGCTGCAGCACTCACGGGGGTCTGGGACAGTCAGACCCACTGCTTTGAGGATGAATGTGGGGAGTGAGGACAGAAGCCAGCATTTATAAGTGAGGTCACTAAAAACTCTCAAAACGGCTTCAGGGGATGAAAGCATTGAGACATGTCTTCCCAGTGTCACTCTGGTAGTACTCAAGGCACAGGCCAAAGGCCAGAGCCCTGAGCTCTTGCTGTGTATTCTGAAATGGAAGGTTGTCAAAAATTTAGAATACTCCTCTCCCCTGACCAACCGCCTCCCCCAAATCCACATCCCCCTCCATATGAGGTCTTTAAAAACCTCAGAGGAGTTATGTCCTATCTCAGTTCTCCAGCTGCTTTTCTGAATGTTTTAAATGTGGTGTTTAGTTTCATTTCTACATTGCAGGTTCCTCTACACTAAGATTAAAGTTCTCTGCAGACTCCTTTTTTTTTCTGTAATGCTCTAAAATTTCAAAAGCCCCGTCAAAGGTCTCAGCACCTGATCCTATCCGTTAGGCCTGAGACAGAGAGACAGACATATATATGTACATATGCCTTTCTCCCAACTTGGGCCAAGGCCCCTGGAGGACAAGCCACTCTTCTCCCTACCCAGAGTAAGCACCCGGCAGCCATTAAATGAGCCTTACACACTAGAGCATAAGGTTCTAGAACAAGCCATATCCATGTGCTTCTAAAACGAAGCCACCTCTCCCAGCGGATCTAATGCTAAAGATCCCGACATCTGTCTCTGCCACGTCACGATCACAGACTTCACTGTATAACCAACCTGAAAGAACATGTGACATATACAGCAGTTAACCTTAATTTGCTAAACAGGAAAAAAAAAGCAGTTCCTCTACAGAATACCACCTCTTTCACATCCTTACCTTGGTGTTTTCATACTTTTCAGAGGAGGGATGATAAGGTGGAAATGACCAGCTATATGGAGAATCATCACTATAATTGGAAGATATTCCTTGAGAGGGGAAAAAAGAAAGTCATTAAATAAAATCTGAAGGGTCCTCCAATGCCCTCCCCACTCCAAATTAAAACTTTGTGAACGAGGGAAGTATCATCTTCCTTCTTTGGGCTTCAGTTTCCTCATCTATAAAATCAAGAGCTTAGGCAGATGATGAGAAGTCCCCATTAAAGCCAACTCACTAGGTTTCTGGGGCACCTGGGTGGCTGAGTCAGTCAAGCGTCCGACTTTGGCTCAAGTCATGATCTCGCAGTTCATGAGTTCGAGCCCTGCATCGGGCTCTCTGCTGTCAGTGCAGAGCCCACTTCAGACCCTCTGTCCCCCTCTCTCTGCCCCTCCCCCACTTGTGGTCTCTCAAAGATAAATAAACATTTAAAAAATGTACCTTAAAGCTAACTCACTAGGTTTCTATTTGAGTAGTAAGCATCCGACCCTGTAGTCCCTTAAGCCCTGGCTATTCATGCTAGGCCCTGAGGAAGGCCCCCTCAGGTCAGCCAGCCAGCTGCAGCAACAGAGCCCCACAGAGCCCTCGCTGGAGCCTCTACCCTGTCCTACAATGGAGGAGCAGAGGCAGCAGCACGGGCCAGGTGGGGAAGGGGAGGCTCAGGGAAGGTCGGTGCCTTAGCTGATGCCAACCAGATATAGAGGAGTGAGCTGGGACTCAAACCCATGCCCTAGGACACCTGGTTCAGTGCTCATTCTCGAAGCAGAAACCCACCCCTAAGCTCAGCAGCCTTCATCTATTTGGGAAGACAAAATAACAGCAAAACCATGGAAGGACAGCCCCCTGTCTAGACAGTAGAAGTGCTGTGTAAGTAGGGAAGCCACAGACGCGATGGGTCGAGTGACAGCGGGCAGTGGGGTGTGTGTGAGACCCGACAGAAAGTGCTGCCCAGCGGGATGAGATAGGAGGGGGCAGGGAGGGTAATGTAGGCAGAACCACAGGAGAAAGAGCATCCCCAGCACAGTGACCCAGGGCTCCAGCAGGGAGCACTGGGCAAGGCAGGACTGGAGGGAAAGGGGGCAGTGGGTGGAGGGCTCATCGACACAGAATGCACAGTGGAGGGAGCAGAGGAAGCCTCTGGACCCAGAGGAGGCTGGGTTCAAATGTCAGCACTGCTCCTTATCACCCATGCAACCTTGGGCAAGCCACTTGACTTCCATTAGCCTCAATTTCCTTCTCAGAAGATGATGACGATGATAAAAACCCACTGTGCTCGCTGTTGAGGAGAGGATTACAGGAGTGGCCAGCACAAGAACTGGCACGGGCCTGGCCATCAATCAACGGTGGCTGCTGTCTTCCCTGAACAGGTCTTTGCCTCATGGAACAAGGTCTTAAGAACAAAGACCCAGCTGAAAAATGGATTTCCACAAGGACCGCAGGCAAAGCTCTCACTCTCTGGCTAAGACGTGGTGCTTACAGCCTGATTCCACAATCTAATTACCAGGAGGAATGAAGCCAAACAACGCCACTCGGGCCTTCTTTAGCCTCCCTTCCTGAAGCACAACCTCCCCTCTGCTCTAGTCCCTCTGTTCCCCAGGCTCGTCTCTCCCCTCCAGCTGTGCTCAGGCAAGGGGTAGTATGAGGTAAGCACCAAGCGCAGGAAGTCCCTGATGGTGGGCCTTTGGCTACACAACGTCATTCCTGACACACTTGCTTTCTAAAACCAGGCCCGACTCAGCCAAGCCACACGTTATCCTCAACCTGCACCGGCCAGCTGGGCTCCAGAAGGCTCTTGAGCCTGCCCGTGTAACCAGTGAGCAAAGGGAAAGCTCCTGAAAACATTAGTCGTAGTCCCTAGCAATAAGCACCACTGTCGTATAAAGGGGGCTTTCAACACCCTTTCATGCTCCTACTACCTGGATTGGGTCGCTACCCTGGGAGGTGATCAAGGCAGCTACAATTCATTTGCCAGGGAAGGAATCTGAGGCTCAAGGGGGAAGAACAATTTGCCCAAGGTTAACTGCACAGCTCAGAAGTGGCAGAGCTGAGACTGGAACGCGGGAGCCGGGATCCCTGGTGCTGCTGCCCATCAGTTCACCCTGCCTGCAGAGATGTTCAACCCAGGGTTCCGTGTGACACAGAAAACCTGAAATCAACCTGGATGAAAGCACAGCATATCTGCACGTGAGACTACCACGCTGTCGTTAACAGTGACTTTGCACGAAGGGCAGCTATGTGGGGAAGAGTTTATGTTTAAAACATTCACAACATAAAGCTGTCTGTACAGGAAAAATCTCAAATCAGAAAAATAATATGTCTGCAACAAGGGAACCTCAAAATATAGTCCTCCTCAGTGTGGTGCAATTACAAGTAATTCATATCCTTTACTTCCTGCTTTCCTTCCCCCCCACCCCCCCCAACTTTCCGTCAAATAATCATGTGTTAGCTTCAGTACGTTTAAAAACCGTTTTAAAGTTTGTGCTTCAGCATTCCCCTTTTGGCATTCAAGAGGGCCAGTTTATCAGGCAGTCTTGAAAGTTAGCGCTGGTGGCCCCTGGCACTCTTTAGGCTAAGGGCACCAGCTTACATTCTCCCTTCTGACCTTACAGGCGGGGAGCAGCAGCCCCACCAAAGCGCAGCCTCTTCACTGGACAAATCAGCATAGCTGCCCTGGTCTCACTTTACTGACAGGGATCCTGTGGTTCAGAGGGTCAAGCACAGAGCCGGACTCACACCCAGCACTGGCACCTCCCCAGCCAGTGCCCTTCCTTCTGCGTGAGAAGTCGAAGGAACCAAACAGCATCATGACTCGTTTCTGAAAGAAGAAAGTCCCACTACCCTTTTTCATGTGTGGTGAGGACAGGAAGCTAAGGTGAGAAGTAGGAGTTTGTACAAATACAGTGGTGACTAGTGAGGGGTCCACCCAACCCATACAGCCCTCTGCAAAGATAGCCCCAGCCCCAGCAGGGGATTCTGGCCCTCAGGCACAGAACACAAGAGAACCCAGACTTTGGACGGCAGGCAGTACCAGGGTGAAAGACTTTTCCAACCGACATGGTCACGTAGCCATTCTCCTTGAAGTACTGGGGGATGGTAGAGAAGTTTCCAGCATGTATCCTCCAGTAGGAATTGAAGTCATACAGGCGGGTGGTGTCTGGTCTCCTCCCAGTGAGGAAGGATACACGGCTCGGAGCACACACTGCTTGCTGTAAGGGAGCAGAAGCAGAGGAAAATGTCCTCAGAGGAAAACAGTCTGGATGCTAAAAGGTAACCAGGCAACCTCAAGAGTCCTCAGTAAACAGCTTGGCAGCTGAGTCATGCAGATCTCAAAGCCAACCAGTGGGATCTGGGCCTCACCCAGATGCCAGGAATGTCTTCCCAGGAAGAGGCAGGGGAGGACTCAATCCCTCAAACCAGCAGATTATTGTGTCCTTTTGTGTGATGGAGTCTTACAGGTACACAGAGCAGGAAAGGGTCTTGAGGACAGACCCATGAGGGGGCTCAGGGAGGAATGCCACCAAGGCAAGCTGCATGGTGCTTGCCCAAGTTTGGTCAGCAGACCGGAGAGCGGCATTCTGCAATGCCCCTTCCTTCTCAGCACCAGACAATCCTCTTTGGGCAAGCAAGCTGGGCAGGACCATCCTGAGCATGTTAGGGGATGGTCACCCTCTGCCAAGCTTGAAGGCACAAACTTCTTTGCCAGTGCACAACCAGGTTTTCTCTTTTGCCATTTTCCAGACTATGCTTCGCTCTAAAAAACACATGCCTGGCACCATCAGTGTCACCTAAGCGTAGCTGAGAGGACCCCATCCCCCAACCCTCAGTGCACAAGGTACATACACATCCACACCTAGAGGTCCCTAGACATACCTGGGCAAAGGCATTCTGGAAGAGGAGGCTGCGGGATGCCAGTTGGTCAATGTTTGGAGACCTTATGGCCTTGTCCCCATAACAGCCCAGGGAGGGGCGCAGGTCATCCACGATGATTAGAAGGACATTCAGAGGACCTGCATGGGAGAGAGAAGCTTCAGTGAGATCACCTGCACTGACAGTGAACCCCCACCCATGGGGGGTGCTAGGGTACTGAATGGTCCTAGGCTGGCCCCTGCACCCTGGACAACCCAGCCAACCAAGACAGGGAGGGGGCGATGAGGGTTGTGTCTCAGGGAGGGTGGGAGTGGGTGCACAGAAGCAGCCCCAGTCCTGGGTGGCAAGATTAGGCTCTGGGCATGGCCTCAAGCCTGGACGAAGTCGGGAGAGAAAGGGAGAAAGGGAGGAAGGGAGGGAGGGAGGGAAGGATAGACGAAAGGAAAGAAGAATTTAGGGAAGGAGGGAAGGATGGATGGAGGGAGGAAAGGATGGATGGAGGGAGGGACAGAGAGAGGGAGGAAAGTAAGTTTGGATGTTAGAAAGAATAGCAGATGGGACGGAGACAGGAAGTTAAGGACCGGTGTAGGCAGGAAAGGAGATACGGAACCCGAAATCTGAGCGAGAGCCAAGGCTGCACCTGTGGTCGAGTTGCTGGGCGCCGCAGACTCAAGGGAGGCGCAGACGGAGGCCAGGACCAGGCCAAGCCAAAGCAGACACTGGCCGGCCGGCGGCATTTCTGTCCCGGCGCGGCCACTCCGGGCCGATGGTGACAGGCTGCAGCGGATGGGCCCGCCGCTAGCCCAGCGTCACCTGAGCGATCTGCGCGAAGTGGCCGCGGCCGGCCCCACAGGCCCTGGAGCCGGCCCGGATGCTAGTGCGCCTGCGCACCTCGTATCCCGCCCCGCCCCTCGGGGGCGGGGCTTAGTGCTGCGCGAGGCCCCTGCGCGTGATCCCGGCCATAGGGGGCGGGGCCGTGGTTCGAGCGCAGCGCCAGCACCGCCCAGCTGCTCCGCCCGCTTGGCAGACCAGCCAAGCCGCGGGTTACTCCCTTGTTGGGGAGCTATGCTGGAATCTTTCCAGGTGTGTCCAAAGTTTTGCGATGCAACCCCTGTCCTTAACCAGCAGTTTTCTGCCTCTTTGCCTTTGCTCCTGTTATGCCTTCCACCTGGAAGCCCTTCCCTTCCGTCATCACTCCATAAAAGTCACACTTCCTTGCAGACCAGCCCAATGACATTCTCCTTCAATGCAGCTCTTTGAGAAGCTGCCTTCCTCCATCTGAAAGGTCCCCCCGTTTATGCATTTGTTCGACAGATACTTACTAAGTATCGCAGATACGTATACCGAGCACTGTTGGCGGCTCGGGAGTTCAAAGTGCCTGCCCTGGTGGGGCTTGCAGACCTTAAATAACCAAATAAACAAAGAACGCCAGTGGGCACACACGGTCTGGACAAATATAAGGCCAGGTGGATTTGCATGTTATTGTTGATAGGGTGGTCAGGCAAAGCCTCATTAGTATTCATTGACAGCTGCGGTGGACACACACTAAGGTGACCCCCACTAGGTCGTGCCCTTGTATAATCCCCTCCCTTTGGGCGTGGGTAGAACCTGTGCTTCTAACCAGTAGAATATGGTGAAGGTGAGATAGCATTTCACATGTGTGACTACATTAGGATGTATCTATGAGTCCATCTTGTTAGCACACACTTAGAGGCATTCTCCCACTGGTCGTGGAAAAGCCATATTGTAACTGTCCCTGGAGAGGGCCACGTGGCAGGGAACTCTGGATGGCTTTAGGACCTAAGGGTGGCCTCCAGCCAACAGCTAGTAAGAAGCTGAAAACTTGGCCCTAGAACCACAAAGAAATGGATTCGGCCAACAACCACATGAGCCTGATCAAGGACTCTGAATTCCAGAAGGGACTGCAGCCAGGGTATGTGACGGCTACCCAATTCTCTGCAGAAAGATGGCCTCTCTGTCCTCAATCTAGCTATGGACATAAGCAAAGAAAAGACCAATGGAGAAGGGGGTCCCTTCAATGTTCCAACAAAGCCCAAGAGGTCACAGACACGGCTGAGATTGAACTTGCAGGGCAAATGGAGCAGTGTGAAGGATGAAATGCAGAAGTAGAGTGAGATGATGATGGACGAGAAGTGAGAGCAAAGCCGAAGACTGAATTTTTGGCCACAAAGTCCAATTTAAGGAACACAAAGCAGATATTTTTCCAAAGTACTTAAACACCCCAGCAGACCAGAATATGAAATGCCCTCCTAAATATCAAGGACATTCACACAGTAGCTTCAGCTCACTGAGAAGTATTTAGGGGAGTAGCCTGGTTTCACTAAAGACTAAAATATTCAGCTGAGAGCATCATAAAAACAGGCCTCCAATGTCTCAAGACAGGCACCACTTTGTAGCTCAGGGCCTGCATGAGATTTAATAGAGGCATCCAAAGAAAACAGCCCCAATCTTTCTACATACAGTATATACATATGCAAGTATTACGTTTCTGGAATATTTTTTTTAATTTTTTTAAGTTTATTTATTTATTTCTGAGAGAGAGAGCACGAGTGAGGGAGGGCCTGAGAGAAAGTGGAAGAGAGAAAATCCCAAGCAGGCTCCATGCCATCAGCACAGAGCCCGATGCAGGGCTCGAACCCATGAACCCATGAAATCATGACCTGAGCTGAAATCAAGAGTCAGACGCTTAACCGACTAAGCCACCTGGGTGCCCTAAGTTTCTGGAATGTTAAAGAAAACATGATTGGTTCCACCTGCAGTTTAAGTTAATGAACCAGACACATACGTTTATCGTCTTTTATGGGTTGTGTTCATCCAAAAGCCAACTCTAAAACAGAGTGAAGTGCGCAGTGAGTGCCTCTGGGAGACATACCTGTGGAAAGGATGAGAAGGGAGCAAGAGTGGAAAGAGGCAGCAGCTGAGCTGTGATTCAGGCCCCAGCTAACCCCATGGGGGTTAGGCCAATATGGCCAGATATTTCTACATCACCTTGATAAGTCATTGAATGCAGATATACCCTGGGAGGGGTCCGAACTTGGGCAAGGTGGCCCTGTGCAGCTGAGGCAGGCCCTGAAGGGGTGGACAGCCCCAAAGGAGGTGCCCTCTCAGCAACTGGGGCAAGAAGGCCATCACTGAAAGGGGGTTTAGGTGACACATCCCTCTGTTCACCACACCTCTTCCTCCCTTTAAAATAATCATGAAGGAACAAAAACAATATAGCCTGACGGCAATAAAGAATGGAAAAGGATGCTCAAATTCATTAGTTATTACAGAAACGTAAATCGAAACCGCAAAGAAGTAGCACTTCACACCCACTAAGATGACCATTATCAAAAACTTTTAAAATCACAAGTGTTGGTGAAGATGTGGAGAAAAATCGGAAAACCTGGACATCGTTGGTGGCAATGTAAAATGAGTCAGCTGCTGTGGAAATAGTTTTGCAGTTCTGTAAGAAGTTGAAAATAGAAGTATCATGTGACTCGGCAGTTCTACTCTTACATATATACCCAGAAGATTTGAACACTGGTGCTCCAACAAGTGTTTGTACATGCGTGTTCATCACAGCACTATTCACAATAGCCAAACTGGCTGAAATGTCCGTCGCCAGATAAAGGGATTGTGGTCTAGCCACACGATGGGCTATTATGCATCCATAAAGAAGAAAGGGAGTTCTGATGCGTGCTGCAGTATGGAGGACTCTTGAAAGCATCATGCCAATGGAAAGAAGCCAGACACAAAAGGTCACATATGGTATAATTCCATTTAGAGAAAGTATTCGAATAGGTACATCTACAGAGAGAACACCAATTGATGGTTGCCAGGTGTTAGAGGAGGGGATGGAGAGCAAGTGCTGAACATGTACAGGGTCTCCTCTGAGAGTGCTGAAAATGTTCTGGAACTAGACAAAGGCGCTGATTGTACAACACTGTGAACACACTAAATGCCACTGAATAAGTCCTGGGGCCACAGAGCTGCGAGTCAACCTCATTCTTAAGCATAACCAGACAACAAAGAAAAGCTAAATATTTGAGGATGGTGTACAAGATGACAGAGAAGTATCATGAAAAAGAAATAGCAAAGCTGGCCCTATAGGAAAGAGATGACTAAGGGACAGGGACGAACAAGTTAAAAAGGAAAAACAAAAAGACCTTTTATTGGGGCACACGGCTTGCTTAGTTGGTGGAGCATGAGACTCTTGATCTCAGGATCATGAGTTTGAGCCCCATGCTGGGTGTATAAATTACCTAAAAAAAAAAGCCCCAAAACACAAAAACTTAGGGGCGCCTGGGTGGCTCTGTCGGTTAAGCGTCTGACTTTGGCTCAGGTCATGATCTCACAGTTCATGAGTTCGAGCCCTGCTCTGGGCTCTGTGCTGACAGCTCAGTGCCTGGAGCTTATTTCAGATTCTGTGTCTCCCTCTCTCTCTGCCCCTCCCCTGCTCACTTGCTCACTCTCTCTCAAGAACAAAAAAACATTTAAAAAACTTAAAAAAATACCTTTTATTAATATCCTCAGAGAGACTTGATATTGAATATATAGAACAAAAACAGATTGGTATAAAAACAGTACTATAAAATGTGAAGGATCACTTGAAATTAAAACTACAATTGCAAAATTAAAAATTCAGTAAAAGAACCAAGTTGAGAGGAACTTAAAATATATAGAACAGGGGCACCTGGGTGGCTCAGTCAGTTAAGCTTCCGACTTCGGCTCAGGTCATGATCTTGCCGTCTGTGAGTTCGAGCCCCACGTCGAGCTCTGTGCTGACAGCTCAGAGCCTGGAGCCTGCTTCGGATTCTGTGTCCCCCTCTTTGTCTACCCCTCCCCTGCTTGTGCTTTCTCTCTCTCTCTCTGTCTCAAAAATCAATAAACATTAAAAAATAGAGAACAGAAGTACAGGAAAGGACGATACCAAGTGCTACCAAGAACATGGAGCACTTCAAACTCTCCTACTTGCTTGTAGCAGTGCTAATTGCTACAACTGCTTTGGAAAACCTGGTGGAAGTATTTCCTAAGGCTAAAGCTGAACGTGTGCCTGCCCTAGGAAGCAGCAATGCCATGCCGGTGCATATACTCAAAACGTGTGAGTGTACTCATGGCCACCAAAAGACACGTACAATTCCCGGTAGCATTATCTGTACCACAAGCTTAGTGGCTGTAAACAGCACCCATCTATTACCTTGTAGTTTCTATAGGTTAGAAGTCCAGGTGCAGCTTAGCTGGGCCTTTTGCTCAGAGTTTCACAGGGCTGCAGTCAACATGCTGGCTGGGGCTGTGTTCTCATCTGAGGCTCTGGCTTCCCTTCCCTTCTGGCTCTGGCTGTTGCCAGAATTAAGTTCCTTGTGGATGTAGGACTGAGGTCCTGTTTGCTAGCTGGCCATCAGCCCTGGGCCACTCTCAGATCCTAGAGACTACTCACAGTTCCTTGCCAGATGACCCTCTCATAGGTGCTCTCACAACATGGTTGTCTACTTCTTTGAGGCCGGCAGGGAATTGCTCTAATTTCAGGGGAGGCCTGGCCCTCTTCTGAGAGGCTCATCTGATTAGGTCAGATCCACCCAGGATAATCTCCCTTCTGATTAACTCACAGCAACTGATTAGGGGTCTTAATTATATCTGCAAAATCCTTTCAGCTTTGCTATATTCTATTGTTTATAAGTAGTGAATTCTGCCCATACAAGGACCAAGGGAGGGGATTATACAAGGACAGGTACACTACAGAAGTAGGAAGCTATATAATAAGGGCTATATAGACCTGTGGCTACCACAGAGGAACCCTGTCTTTCTTGAGCCTTAAGTCCATATCAGAAAT